AGTTTTTATAGAGTGTTTTAGTGTTTTGTTTACCTTTGTCATAGCAACTGAACTAACGGGCGCCGGAAGGGAAAAGAGCGACTGCTGTCCTACAGTCATATGAAAAAGGTTGGGCACCCCTATTAATCTTATTCATTTTATCTCTAAATACTTGGATGTTTGCAACAGCTATTTCAGTTTGATACAGCCAATAACTTATGGAAACAGTAATATTTCAGTATTGAAATGAGGTTTACTGGACTGAAAAAAAATGTGCAGTACGCATTAACACAAAATTTGACAGGTGCAAAAGTATGGGCACCTCAACAGAAAAGTGGCATTAATATTTAGTAGATCCTCCTTTTGCAAAAAATAACGGCCTCTAGTCGCTTCCTGTAGCTTTTAATGAGATCCTGGATGAAGGTATTTTTGACCATTCCTCTTTACAAAACAATTCCAGTTCAGTTAAATTTGGTGGTCGCCGAGCATGGACAGCCCGCTTCAAATCATCCCACAGATGCTCAATGATATTGAGGTCTGGGGACTGGGATGGCCATTCCAGAACATTGTAATTGTTCCTCTGCATGAATGCCGGAGTAGATTTGGAGCGGCGTTTTGGATCATTGTCTTGCTGAAATATCCATCTCCAGCGTAACTTCAACTTTGTAACTGATTCTTGAACATTAATCTCAAGAATCTGTTGATATTGAGTGGAATCCATGTGACCCTCAACTTTAACAAGATTCCCAGTGCCGGCATTGGCCACATAGCCCCAAAGCATGATGGAACCTCCACCAAATTTTACAGTGGGTAGCAAGTGTTTTTCTTGGAATGCTGTGTTTTTTGCCGCCATGCATAGCGCCTTTTTTATGACCAAACAACTCAATCTTTGTTTCATCAGTCCATAGAACCTTATTCCAAAATTAAGCTGGCTCGTCCAAATGTGCTTATGCATACCTCAAGCGGCTCTGTTTGTGGCGTTCTTGCAGAAACGACTTCTTTCGCATCACTCTCCCATACAGCTTCTCCTTGTGCAAAGTGCGCTGAATTGTTGAACAGTGAAACCATCTGCAGCAAGATGATGCTGCAGGTCTTTGGAGGGGGTCTGTGGGTTGTCCTTGACAGTTCTCCCCATTCTTCTTCTCTGCCTCTCTGATATTTTTCTTGGCCTGCCACTTCTGGGCTTAACAAGAACTGTCCCAGTGGTCTTCCATTTCCTTACTGTGCTCCTCACAGTGGAAACTCACAGCTGAAATCTCAGACAACTTTTTCTATCCTTCCCCTAAACAACTATGTTGAACAATCTTTGTTTTGAGATAATTTGAGAGCTGTTTTGAGGTGCCCATGATGCCACTCTTCAGAGGAGATTCAAATAGGGGAACATCTTGCATTTGGCCACATTAAATACCTTTTCTCATAATTGGATACACCTGGCTATGAAGTTCAAAGCTTAATGAGGTTACCAAACCAATTTTGTGCATCAGTAAGTCAGTGAAAAGTAGTTAGGAGTATTCAAATCAATAAAATGACAAGAGTACCCAAATTTTTGCACCTGTCAAATTTAGTTTTGATGCATATTGCACATTTTCTGTTAGTACAATAAACCTTATTTCAATACTGAAATATTACTGCGTCCATCAGTTATTAGATATATCAAACTGAAATAGATGTTGCAAACACCCAAATATTTAGAAATAAAAATGATTAAAATTAATAGGGGTGCCCAAACTTTTTCATATGACTGTAGTTAGCTGAGGTTTTATGTACATATTGTTTAATTTACGTTAGTTATCAGTTATGAATATGTTACCTGTGATCTGTTTAGCCATAGGTATTTCTATGAGAATGTTTATGTACAGAAGGAAAGAAAAGAAATACAAATCCATTGTATATTGTACAGTAAAATACTGGATAGTGTTAAGAATGAAAATCCTGATCGATGAATCTTAATTTGTATTGACACATGGAGCATAAAATCAGCCAAGAAAAGCATTCAGGCTTTACTTATTTTAACTTTCAGCGCTGAAAGGAGACGCTTTACCATTACATCCGAGAAGAGTTTCTAAAAAAGTCTGCAGCGTCTGAGGAGCAGGCAGCTGATTACATGGACTGAAGACACTCCCTGAAATCACACCATGTCTCTGTGGCCTGATAAGTTTCTGTTTCTCTGAGGAATGAGCCTTAGTGTCTAACAGAATCATAGATCTAACTCTGTAAAATGGGCCTTTTGTCTAACGGCATGTGACTCTTTCTCAACCTGGTAAAGCGTCTCAGCAATAGCGATGAAGTGTGTAGAAGGGTAAAACAAGTTGTGCCTTTTTATGGAAGGATAAAAAGAAACGGTTCATTACAGAAATAAGCAGGTTGACAAATGAATGCCAGAAAAATAACATTGACACAATGTCTAATAAGAGATTCCATGAAGATTTGAAAAGTAGGAAGTTGTGTCTACCTCATTATTTTAACCTGTTCTATATTGTTTACAGGTTAGTAGAGAAAAATCAGCGTCTGTTACACCGACACCAGCCCTGGTGCGTGTCACAGATTCTTGGGGGCTTGTCCGGGATCGGCACCACCCACTGGTCAGGAGCTGATCCAAATATTGATGACTGGGACCAGGAGCGAGCAGTTTCTACTACAATTTGGAGTACTAAAAGGAGAGACTGTCTTGACAGGGGTCAGTGGTTGGCCTTTGAGACTGAGTGTGAGAAGGGAAGAGAGCAACTAGTCGGATGTTGGATGAAAAGGCCTGGTGTGAGACATTAGGAAAAGTCTTCCGAACCTGTCTGCAAGCGAACTCTTTCAGATCGCCAAACATGTTGGTCCTGTGCCTGACAAAGATCTGTCTATGCTAGAGATGATGATCCTGAGGGCTGCCTGGAATACATTAATGCATTCATGTACAGTAAAACCTCTCTGTGAGTCAGAGGACAAAGGGATGGTTAAATTATTGGTTGACCACTATTGACAAAGTGGTCCAAGTACGTAAAGTAATGTTGGCAGAGAAGGTTTCTGATGTTGATGTTAATGCCATTGTTGAACCATATAACATAACTCTTACTAAATCCTCTAACACAACACAGGGTGTGGTTAGTGACCTGAGTCCACCTACTACCATACATTACTCAGACAAAATGTCTGCAGCTCAAACAAACATTGCTGTCACTACATATGACAACACTAACACAGCTGCAGTAAATCCAACAGCATCCATACTAAATGATGATTTGCAAACAATTCTGTTAAGCTACACAGACCTGGGCAAAAAGCTGATGCAGTGTGTTGACCCTTCGGTTACAAACCCAGCTTCACCTCAGTTTGCAGCTACCAGAGTTGGGGCATCCCGAGACCTTAAAGTGGAAAGCGGGCCAAATGGCAACCACCAGCAGCAATATGAACAATTTGTCCCCATCAGAGAACTTTCATTTCTTCCCCGGAGAGAATTTAAGATTCAAGGTGGCCAGATTGGTGATGATTCATCTGACATATCCTACAGTAATGTGTGTAGACAAATTGACAAGGGGATTCAAAATAACTTTGCTGACTCTGATATTGTCCAGGCTATGCTCAAGATAATTAAACCAGGTAACTTCAAAGACATGTTGATAAACAAAGGTGATATGAAAGTTACAGAGCTGAAGGGATTTCTACAATCTCATCTGAGGGAGAAGAATAGCGCTGAACTGTTTCAAGAGTTGATTTGCACCAAACAGCTTGACAGTGAGACTCCACAACAGTTTCTTTACAGAGTAATGGGACTAAAACAGCGAATAATGTTCACTTCTAACCTCCCTGATGCCAGTATTAAGTACAGCAAGGCAACAGTTCAAGATGTATTCTTACACACTGTTTATCAGGGGCTCGGGCATAAACACAATGACATTCGAAGGGAGCTGAAATCCCTCTTGGCTGAACCTGATGTCAAAGACGAGAAAATCCTAAGGCATGTAATGAGGATAACAAGTGAGGAAAATGAGAGACGACAAAGATTAGGACCTGTACCCTGTCAGAACCTCGCCACTGTCCGCAGTGCACAGTTTGACACCGACACACCACTAGAACAACATGCAGCACACCAGAGGAGCAAGTCAGTTGTCGACACTGACATCATCAACCAGCTAACCTCAAGAATTGATGCTCTCACTCAAATGGTGGCTTCTTTGAAACAAGGTGCAAGAGCACAACAGTTTGAGCAAGCCTGCCAGTGTTCACAAAGAAGAATAGGTCAGGTGAGGAGACAGAGAGCAAACAGCTGTCCCACCTGTGTTGAAAATGGCTCATCAAATTGTAACCATTGTTTCTTTTGTGGTGTAGAGGGTCACAGCGCTGTTGGCTGCCTCAAAAGGTTGCAGCAGCAGGAAAACTACAGCCGGTCACTGGAGAAGGGACAACCAGTGACCGGGGTCCAGCCCCAACCAAAGACAACATCAAGTCTACAAGATACCCCTGTCTCCACAGCTGGGGTGACAAAGAGACCATCTCAGAGAAAAGAAAATAGTGCTAATTTGTCACAGGACTCAGTAATCAAGAAAAATGAACAGGTTGCAAGGCTGATTGAGAGAAAAGGTCTGATCCAGTGCTACCTTAATGGACTAGATGTAAATGCATTACTAGACACGGGGGCCCAAGTCAGCATGATTGATTGCACCTGGAAAAACAAACATTTGCCAAATATTGACATTCAACCTCTGGACTACTGAACAATGAAGATGAAAGTGAATTACAAGTATATGCTGTCAATGGGGATCTGATTCCATTTGATGGATGGGTTGCCATAACTGTAAATCTACCTGGAAATGAAGACCCCAATCTGATGATTAGGGGTCAGCAGATTGGCTGACCCCTACAGGTACAGAGGTACAGAGCTTTTCTGGTGAGCAGTCTGTCCATTGAAAGACCCCTACTTGGTTTCTATGTAGTGGATGAACTGATCCTGGGACAACAAAACAAGCCAACACTCCAACACTCATAATGTTATTCTGTGGGGCCATCTCAATCTCAAAAGATAAAGCTGAGAGGATAGTGAATTGCATATCCACCACTAAACCCAGCATACAACAGGGGTGCCTCAAGGTTGGCCGACATGATGTCATCATTCCAGCAGGGCAAGTTTCATGGATAAAATGCAGGGTCCCATGTAATATGGACCCTTCTGACTGCCTTGTCCCTTTAGAGCCAGGTGAAGAGGGTGCAACCCCACAAGAGTTGGATGTTGGAGGGGGTTTGTTTGAAATTCAGAGCTAACTACTTTGTTTGTTCCTGTTGGAAACAACAAAAACATGACATAGTCCTGCCCCAACAGACTACTTTAGGTTGGATTCAGTCAATCAAGAGTGGTAGAGACGTACTCACCTATTGATGATGCTGGGGACCAGCCAGAAACTACTGTGAAGATCAGCAGCACGACTACTGCAACTGCTGATGAAAATTCCACTCAGTGGCACCCCCACCAGTTGACCTTAGCCATGTGGAGGAGGAACTGAAGGAGAAAGTGACAGAGATGCTCTACGAAGAGTCAACAGTCTTTGTTCAAAATGAAAGCGACATTGGTTGCATACCAAATCTTCAAATGTCAGTCACTGTCAAAGATGATATTCCTGTTCAGAGAGCGTATACCAGTGTACCCAAACCACTGCTAAAATAAGTCAGAGTACATCCAAGATCTCCTGCCAAAAGGGTGGATAGTAAAATCTAAATCCCCATATTTAGCTCCAGTTGTGTGTGTGAGAAAAAAGGATGGGACACTGCAGCTGTGCATCGACTATCGTCTATTAAACCAAAAGACTGTCCCTGATTGAAGGAGCATTAGAAGGACCATCTCTCACAAATTGTACATGCATACAATTGTACGAGACATGAGTCCACTGGTTTCTCACCTTATTATTTGATGTTCAGCCACCACCCCTACGGCTGCCAGTTGATCCCTTAGGGTGCGTTCACACTGCAGCCTGAAGTGACTCAATTCCGGTTTTTTTGACGTAATGCGACCTGTATCCGATCTTTTCATGGCAGTGTGAACAGCACAGGTCGGATTCTTTTTCGAATCTGACCCATATCCGATACGTATCCGATTCAAATGCGACCTAACGTCCAGGTCGCATTCATCCGAACTGAACGTCACTGTTTCTCAACAAATCTCACTATTCTGAGTCCTGATATGTGCAAGTGGGAAGAAAAACAACAACCATGACGGACTATATAAGGATTAAGTTGATAATATGTTGCTCCGGCTGGATAACAACTTCAAATATGTAAGCTAAGCTCCACCATTAGCCTCCATGTTTACTTCCACAAATACTGAGCACTTCTTCTTTTTATGGCAGTTGGCAGAACACTTAGAATGCTGACGCTATTGCACCCTCCACTGCGCATGCGGGACACTTTCAGGTCGTTTGCCCGTTTACACTGCAGAACGCATACAGGTCGCATTTACTGGCAGTGTGAACGGCCCCGGCAAAAAAATCGGAATTGCCAAAAAATCGGAATTGAGTCACTTCAGGCTGCAGTGTGAACGCACCCTTATTTGGGCTGTTTAAAGAGACTAATCCAGTAACACCCAGGGGATATGCACAAAAATGGTCAAAACAGATGTCCCAGGCTTACCGCATTGCTCAAGAAAACAGCAAGCAGTCAATAGAATCTGTTACACGCACCAGAGCTGGTGTCGGTGTAATAGACCCTGATTTTTCCTGTGAACCAGATAGAACAGGTTGAAGTAACAGGGCAGACACAGCATCGTACTTCTCAAATTCTCCTGGAATCTGTTCTGAAGCCGGTTGTCAGTTATACAGATTCTGGAGCGATTACGAGAGCACACTGCCTCCTACTGGTAGCTTTCTGCTACTGCAATAAAGTCAATTACAATAGAAACCAAATCTTGAAACTGGAAATATACATAAAAAACCCATATCAATTAATTCAATATCAAAATAGCAAAAGAAAATAATAATAATAATAATAATAATAATAATAATAATAATAATAGAAACCATTACTTTTTGTGTATGCCACACAGGCAAAATGACTGAAAGTCGGGGCCACTTCAGACACATAGAGTTTTGTCAGCAGTATGAAACAGCAGCTTTTGTCTAAGTCACACTAATATGTTTTATCTGTGATGTCATCAGGTGCTTTGAGTGGCCAAAGGGGCTTCCTGGGCTGCATGAGGTCTCTGAAAATAAATGGGATCTTCTTTGATCTGGAAGAAAGGGCAAAGGTGACTCCAGGAGTGAAGCCAGGCTGTCAGGGCCATTGTAGCACCTACAAAATGCACTGCAGGAATGGCGGAAGGTGTGTGGAGCAATACAATGGATACTCATGTGACTGCTCTCTCAGTGCATATGATGGACCCTTCTGCACTGATGGTACAATCTTTCACATTTTTATATACTGGATTATATTTAATGAAGGTGTATTTTTAATTCCCCCTTTTTTGGTTGCTTCTTCTGTGTGTGGTGTGTGTACATGTCAGACGTAGGAGGGTATTTTGAGGCAGGAACCATGGTACGCTATGACTTTCTGTTGGATCATGGCGGATTGTTGCTAGGCGACCCAAGGAGCTTTTCAAACCTTGCCTATTTAGGGGAAACCAACCTCACCCAGGAGGAACTGGTCTTCAGTTTCAGTACATACAGTGCTCCAAGCATTCTTGTGTACATTAGTTCAAGGACCCAGGACTACATGGCAGTGGTGCTGCGACACAATGGTGGGCTTGTTAACACACCTTTTATTTGCCAGTAAAAAATTTGTCTGTTTACATAAAACGTGTCTACTTGTGTGTAGGCTCTCTCCAGGTCCGGTACAGTCTTGGTGGACTTGTAGAACCTTACACCATAGATATTGACCATCGCAACATGGCCAATGGTCAGCCGCACTCTGTCAACATAACAAGGAATCTGAGGGAGATTCGACTGCAGGTTGGGGCACTCATCCAGCTGGTAGTGTTTAACATGGCTAAAGTTGATCATTCATAGTGAAAGTGTGCCAGAAATTCTAGTAGGTTGAAGATGGATTCTTGACTTGTGCTGTATAACCAAATCTTCAACAAAACGTAATCCCTTTAACCCTTTAGTTCCGATGGGAGTGCCAGCACTCCCATTTGCACCTATTTTCAATTGCCTGTAGAATTTGAACCACATAAGATAGAGTAATCATTTTTTCCCTATAAGAATGACACTTACTTCTCTGACAATCAACATGTCCCAGAGCGCTGTATGTTTGCACAAATGAGTTCACAGATTTATAGTAACTAGAGGAATGCAAAGATGCAAGGCAAACTCCGACACACATCGTCCATCTCTATGATGATCGGTGGTAGTTTTAGCACACTAGCGCTCATTCTTTTTTGGTAAAATAGTCTGATACACGCAGCCAACACAAACCAACATCACATAGATTCATACAGACACATTTATGGATCCAGAAAGACCAAGAGTAGAGAGGTTTTATTCTTCGTGCAAAGCTTCAGAGCTTATTAACTCACAGTTCTAGCTGTTGAGAATGAAGCCTAAGGATTGTTATGACCCGGATACGACTGTGGAGATGAAGTTTTATAATGGTCAGATATACAGGGTTAAATTAGATTATGAGTATGACTACAAGTAGCTCTGGGATAAGAAGCATCTTGGCCATCAGCTAGAATGTTTGATCTAAGTTTTCCCTTAAGGGCTTTGTTCAAACCAACCAATTTTTTCAAAGCTTTTATTGACTACAGTGGCCTTTATTTGATAGTGAATTGACAGGAAAGTGGGTAATGAGAGAAGGGGAAGACATGCAGCAAAGACCACCAGGCCAGGAATCGAACCTGCAACAGCCGTGTCAAGGACTAAGGCCTCCATATGTGGGTTGTGCTTAACCCTTGTATGTGGAAATGGGGTCCAACCGACCCCACACACGTAAAGCTTGTATCATTTGCCATAGTCCTCTACTTTTGCCTCAGTCCTCGCACGCACAAGGGTTAAACCCTGCGTCACCACAGCACATCCCAGTAGACCAACCACTTTAAATTAAGTTCTTATTTCTACTAGAATTAGTGACCAAAATTGTAAAACAAAAGTCCTAACCCTATTATTATATGCATCAAAGCTTAATATCCTAACCAAACTGATAAGTGATATGCAGCTGGAAAAAGCACATCTAACAATTTTATTTTATTCATACAATTTATTTAAATAGTTCCAATTCCCAAAAGATGTCATATTTTGGCCTTCCCCCCAAAAGAAAACAAAGAAAACATCTACATTATGTACAGAAATATAAAACATCAGGCATGGTGGTCAAGCAGGTGATGGAGCACCCAACCCGTAAGTCCTCAGCGGTTCGAGTCTGTCTCTCTCTTACAACCCATTTCCTATCAGTCTATTGTGAAATAAAGGCCACTAGAGCCGAAAAAATCCTTTAAAAAGATGTATAAAAATCAAATAAACTTCTCCTTTTCTCTGTTTTCACTAGCTTGACCACTACACTGTGTCGACACACACCCTGCCTGAGTCTTCTGACACACAGTTCAGCTTGGTCAAAAGTATCTTTCTTGGAAAGGTTTATGGTAAGTTTGTTGAGAGGTTGTGAATAAGTGTTTTTCTAGAGGATAATTGATATATTTTTAAGACCTATATATTGGTAAAGTTCCACAACTCAAAGCTCCTGCAACATTTGTTTTCAAATTGTGTTAATTAATTTTTAGTCTGATACTTGAAGAACTAGAAATCCAGAGTAATATCTGCTGGACTATGGATCTGATTTTGTGCCTTAGAGGTTGTTGTAGAGCATTTCAGAATGATTATTTTGTCCTACACCCGCTGAGTGAGCTGACACCCCACCCATGTGAAAATTTTCAGTAGGACTGAGTGGTTAGAGCTCCATTTGTGTAGGTGTATGCTGCTTTGGTTTCCGACATATTAAGAATTATTTTTTCAGGTCATCCAGATGTCACCATCTTGCTCCAAAACAAACCATAGTGGGCTATTTTTTAGTGTTCTGATTGTGTGGGTTTGTTCTGTTAAAACCATCATTTGTGCAGCTTTCCTTCTTGATATATTAGAAACCTCCCTCGTTGCGTGTTGATCAAATTGTGAACTTTGCCTGATTTCACACCAGTGATTTACATCACTGATATAAATCACTGATGATATAAGTGATGATTTACAAATAGTCATCAGTGATTTCTATCAGTGATGATATAAATATTTGTATCGTCACTGATATAAATCAATGATTTATATATAAATGGAAGCGTTATTAGGTTAAAGATGTCTGATTTTAGACTAGCTTTAAAGGAGCACACTGATTGTTTTGATGTCTGTCAAGGCATAGTGGGCGGAGGTCTGGAGAGCGTGATGTGCAAAGGGTCAACATCTATCTTGATATGAAAAACTGAGCAGAAAAAAGGAAGAAATGAAAAACGACTAGGCACAGAAACTAACTGAAGAAAGTAAAGCAGAAAATGTTACAAATGCAAGAGGAGTTTAATATATTAAAATACGCTATGAATATGTTGGTATAACTATTGGGCTTTTGTGATGTTGCAATGTTTAAGCACTTCCTTAAATAAAATGATTTCACTTTAAAAAAAATTAAGGTGTTTGATATTTATATTGAATTTATTTTGCAGAAAGTCATCACAAGGATAAACTTCATACATAATTTTGAAATTAATTTCATAATTTTTATGAAAAATTATGGAAAAATTATGGAAACTTATAATTATATAAGTTATATATTCTTCAATTGACTCAAAAGACTGAAACAGACAGCCTTATGAGCAGACATAGCCAAAGATTACTGCAGCCCAGATGTACTAAAGAATGCTACAGCAAGTCCTTTCTGCCCAAAGCAATCAGACTTTTTAATGCATAGTCTCTAGAGCTGTGCGTTTTAATTGTTGAATATATATTTAGTAATGTACTGAGCAATACGTGTCTTTAAAACTATCGCTGCTGATTGTTATTATTGTTGTATGTTTATTCTTATTACTTTATTTATTTTAATTTTTATTGTATGCTATCCTAGGTCAAACAAAATTTATCTTGTCTTGAATTGCGCCGCTCAAGGTGGCACCACATTGGAGTAGCTCTGTACTTTCATTGAGTCTTTTTTTTCTCTTTTTCAAACTTTCTACTTGAACAGCTGCTCCTTATTTGGATACAGTGTAGTTGGACTTATTTTCCATATTTTTGCTGTTTTGTTATGATGCGTTAATGATGCATTAACCATAGCAACAAGGTGGTTTATAGAGGGAGTTGCTGACTAACATCAGAGAAACTGAAATAATACCACAGCTGAAGCCAGAAACCACAGAGGAGTTAGAAGGAGGCATTGGGGATGCAGAGCAGGAGCAAAGAGGAGAGGGAAAGAAGAAATTCAAACCATTTCCAACTTCAAGCCCTGACAAGGATTCTGTAAGAGTATAAGGAATGCAGCATAATGTGTTTTATGGAGACATGACTGCAGTATTATATCCCCGACTCCTACATCTCTCTTAGACGTAGACTTATTTTATTGTCACTACACAAAGAAACATAAGTAAAATTGGCAATGAAATGTCATCGCTTGGCCACCAGAGCACACACAAAAACACAAGTGTGCCTATAATTAAATAATATGTAAATAATTACTATTTTCAAATAGTCTCAGACAGTCTTCATGATGGGATTGTTGAGCAATCTGATGGCCAGTGGGAGACAACTATTTCTAAGTCTGGCTGTTCTGCAGCGGATGCTACGGACTCTCCTTCCAGATGGCAACCGGATGAACAGATGAACATGGAGGGGATTTTTGTAAACTTTTTATATTTTTTCTTGCTTTTCTTTTGTGAAGAATGTGTTGCTTTTCGTATTATGGGCAACCAATATGTAGTTCTAGAGTCTAGACTCTAGAACTACATATTGGTTGCCCATAATAATAGCTAATAGGGGTTTCTCTGGAATCTATCTAATAAAAATAGATGTTGGTTCGTTATGTTTGGTAAGAATAGTTAGGCATAAAACTAAATCTTGGTTCTCCATGTTTGATTCTACAAAGCAGATGGTCCTGAATGTTGATCTAAGGTAATGAGTAGTTTCTCTAGATGAGCTTCTCCGGATTCTAAGTTTGTTCTAATTTCTGCTCTGGGCTGAGTGAAATCCTGAGATCCAGAGGAACTATCCTTGGTTGAGTGAAGCATATAAACTAAATGTTCCTGTTCTGGATTGCTAAGCAGAATAACAATAGGTCCTCTGGATCTTATTGTTCTAAGCTGCTCCATCCGAGAAAACAATGTCTCCTTTGGGGAAATCGAATCAAAATATGATCTGCTCTGCTCTGAATACACATCGCTGGTGAAGAGATGATCTGTTAGAAAATGTTCACAGGAAGCAGAAGAAGCCTACCAGGGTTGTTTTGAAGCAACTGATTGGACTACTCTCTGCCAGCCACGTGGAGATGACATCAGTCTCATGACTGAGTGTGTAACTGACTGTATAAACCTCTGTGCACCAGTGACCTAAAGGAACTGTTAAACCAGAAACAAAGAGCCTTCAGGGAATGAGACAGAGAGTTATTGAGTATACAGAAGAAGCTCAAGGTCAAGATTAGAGACAGCAAAGAGAAATACAGGAAGAAGCTGGAGAATAAACTGAAGAGGAACAATATGAGAGATGTGTGATAAGGGTTCAAGCAAAAGGAGGATCAGACAGATGGAAGTCTGGATAGAGATGAACGCATTCTTTAACAGGTGCAGTTCAGGAACAAGCTCATCATCATCCTCTCCTGTCTCCAGCCATACAGACATCCCACCTTCCTCTGACTCACAGCTTTCCTGTCAAACCTCAGATGTCCTGTCTTCCACCTCAGTCATGGACTCTTCTGCTTCCACAAGTTTGTCTTCAACTAAATCTCCCTTTGCTCCCTTTGCCTCCACCGCCCACTTTTCTGCATCTAGAAGTGAAGAGGCAGCTGGAGAGACTGAACCAAAACCAGGCTACAGGTCTGGATGGTGTCAGTCACAGAGTCCTGAAGGCCTGAAGCTGCAGATCAGCTCTGTCATCTGGACAAAGCAGACAGCACTGAGGATCATTTTCTTTGATTTCTCCAGTGCATTTAACACAATTCAGCCTTATTTGCTTTGCCAGAAACTACGGAAGACACAGGCGGAGGCCTCAACAATCACCTGAATCTATGGCTACCTAACAAACAGACCACAGTTTGTGAGAGTGAAGGACTTGTGTCTAACCAGGTGGTCAGCAACACAGGAGCACCACAGGGGACTGTACTCTCACCATTCCTTTTCACTCTACACTTCCAATTTCGAGCACAAGTCTGACTTCTGTCATCTACAGAAATACTCAGATGACTGTGTAGTTACTGGGTGTATCAGAGATGGACAAGAGGTTGAGTACAGAGAGCTGGTGGACCGCTTTGTGTCATGGTGTGGGAACTATCATCTAATCTTGAATGTAAACAAAACAGAGGAGATGATTGTTGATTTCAGGATAAACGGAGTTAGATAAAACCCTATTTCCATCATGGGAGAAGAAGTGGAAGTGGTTGAAGAATATAAATACCTCAGTTTTCATCTGGACAAAAGACTGGACTGGAGATGCAACAGAGCAGTCTGGACTTTTTGAGGAAGCTAAGATCCTTCAAGGTTTGAAACAAGATGCTGCAGATCTTAAGTCTGTTGAGAATGTCCTCTCTTCTGCTGTCATCTGTTGGGGCAGCAGAATCAAAGCAGGAACATAAAAAAGCTTAACCTGATAAAGAAGGCTGGTTCTGTTCTGGGGACGACTGTAGGACCTCAGGAGATGATGATGCAAAGAAGGAGTCTTAATAAAATAAAGAAAGTTATGGACAACCCTGACCATCCTCTTCATGAGACTATCTTGAGAAAAGGGTGTCTTCTGTCAGAGTCTTCATCAGATTTGCTATAATACAGACCAGTACAGGAGATTTTTCCTGCAAACAGCCATCACTATCTACAATAACTCTTTGAAGAAACTGAATTAATGAGTTACAACATTTAATTTTCCTTTAGTATTAATAAAGAATTTTTAAATTTAAATGTAAAAATAAATGTATTTGGTTCTTATTTTCTTTACAGTTATTTTGATTTTTGAATAAATGTTCATCTCAGGGTATAGGGGAAGAAATTTGATGTCGGTGTTTATGAATTTTTTGTTGCATTCTTTTGTCTATAAAGTCACAGCTGTTCATAATCAGAAATGGTTCTGAGTAACAGCTGGATATATCTGCAATGCAGAAAGAATTGCCTTTGAGATTTAAGACTTTTGACAATAATTGTACAATAAAAAGTTGCTGTTGGAAATGTGGCAGTGTTTACCAAGGAAGCTGTGTCTGTTGCAAAAAAAAAAGTTTTCACAAGTATTAAAATCATTTTGTTCCACTCTACTGCACATGTGTAAATACATCAAAGTTTGCTCTGTATTCAACAAGTCGTAAGAATTACACTTGAATAGCCAAATATCTCCACTCAAGTCTTTTAAGCAAAATTACCTGTACTGTACATTTAAAATAATTTTTTGTTGTTGTACTTTTTAGCAGCACAAAGGGCTAAACAATAGCCAGTCCCACCATTTTGGATGTTGAAGCTGTGGCACAGAGGCGCACTATCCCAATTCTCAAATTTGTGCACGCTTGTAACCTGCACATTCAAACCCTTGTTCACTTTGAGTACACACTTCATGGAGTATTGGGACCAGGCCCAAGTTCTTGGCTATAGTTCATATCAGTAAATATCTGTTTGAGTGAGTCTTCTCCTGGCTGGCAGTTTTTCCTTTATTGCATTGCTACCATAGAGTAAGCAGTTACAATTATTTCCCATTCTGGTTATTTTTCTATTTTAGTAGACCCTCAGTTTTTAGACATTTGTGTGTTCTGTTAGTTATTGATCCCTGTGCTGCTTTTCATAGTTGGTTAGATTTTGTCTCTCAGTTCCTCACCTCTTGCTACTTGTATAAAAACCTGTGTGGATTTTCAACTAAAACATTGACACGGCAACCCACCAATTGCAGGGCAAAATCCTTTCTCCATCACCCCAATATGGCAGCAATGAATGAGTAAATACAAAATAATACAATACTATGGAATATAGTATTGTAATATACATTCTTATATACAGTATATGTAAGTTTTATATTTAAACACAAATTTGTTGTCGGTGTAATCAACACAATCCACTTTGAAGATGACAATGAACCTTTCAGAAGTTTGGACAGTTCCTTGTTAATACATAGTTTGTCTGACTTTGTGATGATCTCAGCCTCTTTTCTTGTTGTAGAAACGGGACAGATTGACCCCATTCTAATAGAGCGCTACAACAGCCCAGGCTTTGTTGGATGCTTATCCAGAGTTCAGCTGAATAATGTGGCACCGCTGAAAGCTGCACTTCGCTCAGGCATGACTGCTCCAGTCAGCATCCATGGAATCCTGGTCCAGTCCAACTGTGGAGCCTCACCACTGACCATTACCCCCATGCCCCTTGCTAGTGACCTATGGCAAATAGAAGCTGGTAGAATCCCACTCAGATAATCAGAGAATGTAATAACATGTCCTAGTTCAAATGGATAACATATTTGTTTTATCTGCAGGTGGTGCAGTTTTTCCCTTCAAAGACGAAAAGATTGGAGGTGATGCTGCTCATCAGAATTTTGCAGTAATTGCAGGTAAATATTTTTTTATTTCAAATGTATTTACAGCTGAAGTGGCAATGGAGGCAGCCAGCGAAGTGAGAGGGTCTAGCATTCTGTTACTGCCAGCAGAATGCTAGACCCTCTCTAGCATTCCCTGTGTGTCCTACCTCACCCTGTGTGCTACGCAGGGTGAGGTCCAATTCTCACCCTGAGCGGCACACACTGCCAGGGCAGGCCCCACATGCCCATTCTGCCAAAGAACAGTGTTGCCCCTATTCCCTTTCATCCAGGTCCATACCCATTAAGTGATGCATTCACTAGATACCAGATCTGTTCAAGTTCAATGTTAGTTTTTCTTGCAGGCATACATTCTCTTCATAGAAACATGATCTATGTTCTCAATTCACTGAAACAATATGCTTTGTCAACTAAGCAAGGTGTGAGCTGCTTAGTTGCTGGTGTGAGCTGCAACTAAGATTTGAGGAATCAAAGCAGATTTGATTCCTCTCTGCTATGAGGAATCAAAGCAGATAATTTTCCTTTCAAATCTGCCCTTCAAAAAGGGTCTTCATTTGTATGTGGTGATAGTTGAGGAGTCAAGTCAAGTTTATTTGTATAGCACATTTTCAGCAATAAGGCGTTTCAAAGTGCTTTACATCATAGAAACACCAAATATGAAACAAGCAGTAAATATAAGATTTTGTCAAGTGCAAGTATCAAAATCATGAAATATGTGGATCAGTGTTCCAGCTACTATGAATCTACTATGCAGAATGAATACCTCAACTTCCTGGTCTGCATCAGTTGTACATAATCATAATCTCAGGGTTTTGAAGTTGATCCGAGTGATGAATCTCCACTGTGTGCTACACTGGGATTACAATCGCCTCTTCCGCCAAAGATATTAATCGTAAATGTAAATAACAGTTTTTCAATTGAACCTATAAGAAATCGGCAAGGCTCTGAATGAGGGGATTTTCACATTTGACATTGCTGAAGTGGAAAAATCCCGCTAGCTGCAGCAGTAGTTCAGCTGGCTGCGAGTCCAGCTCACAGACCACACTGATGAGATTTTTTTTTTCCATTAAATGCAAAGCTGAGGTAAATGTTTCCCTTCACTGCCTTGCTGACAAACAAAGCGCAAATAGAAGGAGCTGGAGGGGAGACCCAAGAAGGAAACTGTTCTGCGGTCACTGGGGAGATCGCCTCCAATCGAATTCTTAGCAAGAATTCGATTTATGCAAACCTCACACACCCCTCCACCTTGTATCCCGCTCAAAGCAAAACGAGTGGTCCTATGGTTCCTATAGCGCCAGTAGGACCGGGTCGAATGGAGCCGGGCTGGGCTGGGCCAGGCTGGACCCTGCAGTGCAAAAAGGGTTTTGGTCTCTGCTCGGAGCAAATCTTCGCTTGCAAAACTCTCTGCTCACTTGGTGGATTTTTTTGTGCCATAATCCAAGAGTACACATTTACAGTGTGAAGACAGGATTTCGTGTCTTTTGTTACTTTTGCTTACATTTTCATTTTGAAAGCAGGACCTAATGTATTTCCTCTCAAAACTTGTAATGCTTGTACTCAAAACTTCTCACGCTCACACCTAGTCTCTGCTTGAACTCTGCTCGCTTCTGAAACATAGAAGTGCCTTTTGGCACAGTCGCCTGGCAACCTCTCATAATTGCCAATAGAATACAGGTGTCAAACTCCAGTCCTCAAGGGCCGGTGTGAGATAAGGTGGCTAACTGCGGATCTCAAAGTAGCGAACGTTCCAGAAAACAGAACAGTTTTTGGTGAATTTAAAAAAAAAAGTTTTTTAAACAAAACTTTTTGTTTTTAAAAAAGAAATCATTACAATTCCAAAAGTTTTGATTACAATTTTATTTTACTTAACTGAGGTTTTTTTTTTTC